GAGAGGGTCAAGAAAGCAGCATTTTTAAGAGCAACATTTTGCAAAATTAGCAGCTCCTTAGAAAACTGAGGAAAAGGTGCTTTTTGACTATAAAGAACTTGGTTAAAAGAAAACAACACACTTTAAATTAGTGTAATCCTGGTTTTTCTTAAGTAAGACAGCTTATTGGTCTCCACCCTTTCTCCTGTGCTATCACATGAATAATAAATTCACATACAAATAAAAATTATTGATTACTGGCAACTGCCTGGATTAATCCCTGTAGTTTTGGGGGCAAGATTTGCAGAAGTGCCTCATTTCTAGGGCTGAGACAGAGTGACTGACCCAAATCACCCAACGCCTTTGGCTTCAATCACAGTGAATACTTTATGCATTTGCATTTGCACGCAGCCCTTCATCTCCCTAGCATAAATGGAGATTTCCCTGTCTTAATCATTCTACTCCACACTCAGAAAACAAAAAAGGACTAAAGGATTGTGTTTGATTGGAGAAATGCAGATTCGTTTGTGTTTGAAGGCATAAATCACTTTTAAAGGGAAAAAAACCCCAATGTTTCCACTTTAGTACTGTCTACATCAGGAGGCAGGAGGATTCTGGGAACTGAAGTCTGCAGGTCTTAAAGTGACTAAGGTTGGACGCCCCTGGCAGGGGTGGGCTGGTGGGGGTTTGCAGGGGGTAGGGAGAACTCCTAGCTAAGGTTCTGCACAGTTTGGAGAACCCCCAAATCCCACACCTGGCTGGCCCCGCCCACCCCTCCCAGGAGTCTCCATGTGGCCGTTTTAAATGCAGGTAAGCAGGTATGCAGCTAATTTCCTATGGGACTGATTTCTAGCCAAAGTGATCAGCAACTCAATAATGCTATTTAGAACTAATGGATTCATTACTTACGTTGCACAGCATTGCAATTGCTTGGCTCTCTGGCTACCATTTTGGGTTTTCTCAGTGCTGTGTGCTGAATTATGGTAATCAGATCAAAGGAGATGGATTCTTTTATGTTTTTCATTATTCAGCAGTAGGAATTTTTGCAGGTGTAATTCCTTTTCTCTTAAAATAAAGAAGACTAGATTTGAGGCAGACACTGAGAAAGTGTACTTCTTTTTTATGGCTGAATAATGCAACTTTGGAATTAGAACCATTTAGAAAGAATGCATTGAATAACAACGGAAGCAGGACAGGTCTACCTGAAGGCCTTTGTCTTTGAATTTCAAAGCTGTCTAAGAAGATCAAGGCTCTTTGCATAAGCCCAGAGGCTCTATTCTATTTAATGGAGTGAGCAAGTGCAACCAGACAGAAAAATCTAGTATTTTGATAGTTCTATCGCAAGAGGCTTGCATGAATTCAATAGCCGGACACACATTCTCTATTACTGGCTGCAGAAGTAGTAGTCCCCAACTTACAATAGTTCACTTAGTGACCATTTGAAGTAACAACGGCACTGAAAAAAGTGACTTATGGCTATTTTTCACACTTCCGACCATTGCAGCATCCTCATGGTCACCTGATCAAAATTTAAACACTTGGCAACTGACTCATAGTTATGACAGTCGCAGTGTCCTGGGGTCATGTGATTTTCTTTCGTGACCTTCTGATAAGCAAAGTCAATGGAGAAGCCAGATTCACTTAACAACCGTCTTTCTAACAACTTCAGTGATTCACTTAATGATGGTGGCAAGGAAAGTCGTAACTCAATGAACAAATGTCTTGCTTAGCAACAGAAAATGTGGGCTCAATTGCAGTCATACATTGAGGACTACCTGTAATGAGGTGAAAAAACCTCTTTTGAAATGCCCTTTTCAGTTCAACTGTGGTAGGAATCTTCTCCAACCTGAGTGAGATTACAACTCATTGTATTTCCTAACCACTGTGGTATTAAGCTGGAGGCTGATGGCAGTCCCAAAATACCTAGAAGCCATCTGGATGTGGGGAAGCCTTGCCAGAGCTGGCAGTCAGCAGATTCTGACCAGTTCTGGAGAACCGGTAGCGGAAATTTTGAGTAGTTCAGAGAACCAGCAAATACCACCTCTGACTGGCCCCACCCACATCTATTCTCTGCCTCCCAAGTCCCAACTGATTGGCTGGGCCTTCTTTGGTTGCCCTGCACAGGAGAACGGAGCTGGAAAGCAGGTTAGAAGAGTGGAAGGGAATGGAGATTTTGCAGTAACCGTCCCCTGCCACACCCACCAAGCTATGACCACAGAATCGATTGTAACAAATTTTTGAATCCCACCACTAAACTTTACTATTGCTTTCTTCAAGTGAAGGAACCGGGCCCATTTTATTGGAAAAGAGGAAGATTAGAGGCATGACTGTAGTCTTCAGATACTGATTCTGTACTGTCTTAGAAATGATGGAGTTGATGTTGATTTGATTAGACTTATGTTTTTCTTATCCTAGTGCGAACTGAAAGAACAACTAAAAGAGGAGCTAAGAACTCAATAGCTAGATAGTTCATCCAGGCTGGTGGTGGCCAGTCATAATCATCTTTTATTAGGAAATTCTTTAAAGAGGATTTTGCAGGTGTGGCCTACTGAGAAAATTAGGAAACCAATCATATTGGTTGTCAGTACTGTCAAATATACTCAAGTTCAGACAAATGTTTTTCCTGGTTGTTCCTCAAAATGTTGGCAATTGTAAGTTGAGTGTCGGAGTTGATTCTGTAAACTGCTTAGAGAGGGCTGTAAAGCACTGTGAAGTGATATATAAGTGCTATTGCAATTGCATTTCAACATAGAATTATCAAATAGGGGGAATTTTGGGGGATTTTTTAAATTTCTGTTGCTCCACAGTATAGCATTAGGACCAACAGAAAGAAATGGTAGGAAAACAGGTTTCAACTCAACACCAAAAGCACTTCATGATAAGAAATGTATAAGAGTAATAGAGGCAATTTTGCAGGTTCTTGTGCACAGAGATTTCAGGTAATCAAATACAAATTTGTTGTAGTTAACGCTTATACTATAGGACTCTGTAGTCAATCTTTGTCTGCTATCAAGCTAACCCATTCTCAATTGTTTGGAAAGCTGAAATGGGAAGGGGGAGAGATCTATGTTGTTTCTAGATAGAATAGATACAATTCTTTATTGCTCAAGTGTGATTGGACACAAGGAATTTGTCTTAGGTACATAAACTCTCAACATATATGGTGTGCACTGAAGACAAATCCCTTGTATGTCCAATCACACTTGGCCAATAAAGAATTCTATCTATCCTATCTAGAAACAACATAGGTCACCCTCAATTCCAAAAGGGAAGGATAGATAGAGATAATCAATAAGATGCATCCTGCCCTGAGTTGGGGTAAAAACATAGTATTTCAGTTCTGCCATCTCTCCTTATTGTATCTGGTCAGTGAATTTTACAATCATGCTTTTGGCTCTGTATGGATGTTTAATAAGGGAGGAAAGGAGAGTATGTAAAATTGATTCTACTCCCAAATTATTTTCTCTTCCTAGAATTTTACTGGATGGCAATGATCTTCTATCATTTTTCATATAATTGCCCAAATCCCTCCATTGTATTCCTTTACAATCTGATATTTAACTGAGAAGAAAAATAATAATACAAGCGTCAGCATGAAAAAGTCTTACAAACCCAGGCTGCATTTCTTCCCTGATCTGATGGGCTCCAGGTGTATTACAGCTATTCTGAATCTACTTCCCTGTCTTTTGCTTTTGAGATCTATGGAAACAGAACTGGAGGAAGAGTTATAATGCAAATAAATAGTTCAACCTATTTAGGTACCTATAGACCAAGCCACTGTGCCTATTAACAGGGACAGCATTCTTGCTACTAAAATGTAAAAGATGTGATAGTTTGGAAGAGGATAGGCAACCTGTATTTTTAAGCAGCGCATTCCATTCTAAAAGCCTTTTTAATTAGCAGTATATCCCACTAAGTCCCAAGTAAAGATGCATAGGATCAAAGCTTTGTTTTTCCTAAAATAAACCAAAAAGGCTATTATGTGAGCCTATTAAAATAACTCATACAGATGATTTACTATTAGAAATGCCTAGAGAGAAATCATATTTACTCCCTAAAGCCCACAATTTAAATTTTTAATGCTAAGCTTATTCATTATGGAACTGTAAGCCTGCAGCTGTAAATTTTGATGCTCTTGGAAATGAGAGGCATGTGTCAGGGGACTTATAGAGATACCTGAACTTTTAGGATTCATGAACCCACTTAAGCAAGAAACATTTCTTCATTTGGGCTGTGCTTAGGTGCAAGTCACTTTATATATAGGATTACTTGTGTGTTATATTACAAATAACCAGTTGATTTAAAAAACCTACCCCCCAAATTGTACAGAGTTTCAAGGGGTTATTGCATCTTAAGTGAACTCCACTGAATATATTCTTTGGATTTTAGAGTATCTAAGACAGCATTTGGCATACAAGACAAAATGAATTGGAAAGTTAAAGGCTGCTGTTTTCAGCACCAATTCCCCTTTAAATTATGCTTTAAACATTTTTTTTTAGTTGCAATAAGGTTTAGGAACCCTGGAACTGAAGAACCACTGTGCATTGATACAGAACTCTAAAACTCTCCAAGAACACAATATGTATTGCTTGTGGAACTCCAAGCATTCAATATGTAGTGCTTGTTTGCACACAATGATTGCTTACTATTTGATTTAGAACTACATGATTTCTTCAGAAATGTTCACCATGTATATATTTTTATACTCAGAGACCTGGAATGTAGTTAAACTAATGTCAAAGCCCAACCTGTACATGTTATTTTATCAAAAACCATTGTCAAAAGTATTACCATTTTGTATTGTTTGACAATTCGCCAACCTTAAGAAATAGAAACTCCAGATCATATATATATAATTTTATTACTAAATCAAAAACAGGTACAAATCAAATGCAGCTTTGCAAGCCAACTGAATCATTTCACAAAATGACATACAGGCATAGTTATATCATTTGTTCAAATACAATACATGAACTTATACATGAATACATGAACAATACTTTACTACACAGCAATCCTAAGTGCATTTGGAAATTAAACTTAATGCATGCAAGTGTGGAAATTTATTTACAAAACATGTTAACAGGAGGCAACCATCTTAACAATGCAAATGTTCAGATCGATCAGAAACCTGTGGATGAAAACAAAGAAAATGGTTTTTAGTTTAATGTAAGTATGGGTATGACAAGATTTATTCACAATATAAAGTATACAGGCAACCATCTAAAGAATGCAAATGTATAGATCCATGACAATCTGTGGATGGAAACAAGGAAAATAGTTTTACTGGCTGGGATGTGGTAACATGACATTTCCTGGTATCTAATAGTTCTTACTAACACCTCTTGCTTTTAGCAGTTGTAAAAGAGAGAGATGGGCGGGGAGAGAGAGAGAGCCTAAAACTCCACACCATAGAACAGAAGGCAAACATCTTAACAATGCAAATGTACAGGTTCTTATTCAGAATTTACATCACACTGTGTTGAATGGAATATATTCCCAGAAGTGCAACCACAGATGTTTTTAATTTATGTTGTGGCTAGCAGTTTAGCAAACTCCTTTCTTACCTATCTTCTAAGATCCTTTTCTCCAGAACTGCAGCCTCTTGCCTAAAAATAAAAATAAAGTAGTTACAATATAGTAAGGGTCACATTATAAATTCCATGAAGACCTGTGGATGAAAACGGAAAAAAATGGAATTTGCAAGCTGGGAAGCCTTACCATGACACTTCCTGGTATCCACAAGTTTTTACTGATGCCTCTTGCTGTAAAAGGGAGAGAGAGAGAGAGAGAGAGAAACAAAAATATAATTTTTCCATCAGGGAGTCTTCTGCCCCTTAGCCTGTTTAAAAAGCCAAGTCTGAATCAACATTTTTTCAAGCCGAGCCTGGAACTATTTAGCTAGGCTTCGAAAAATCATATTTTAAGTACGGTAGCACTTTTCGGCATGGATCAAACCCGCCGACCTACAATAAGAAAGAAACCCACTTACAGACCCGATCGGCAGAGCTGGGACCAACAAAAACCGCGACTCGATCTCCCCGGCCTGCTTACTTGAAAGGTGTTCAACCTCGCTTGGGGATGCGTCGGAAGGCGCAATCCTGCAGGGCCGATGCTACACTCCATCGCCCCATTTTCCCATGCCTTATGCCTCTTTAAATTCGGACTATCAAAGAAGTATATGCATAGGAAAAAGGAACGACGAGCAGAAATCAAGGCGATCCGGCTCTCCGGCACGACGAACGGCAGGCAGGCAGGCCGACCTGAAAGAAAAGGAGAAAAGAAAAAGAAAAAGAAAGAAAAACTAGGCATTCGCCGTGAGGCATCGCCGGCGGGTACAAAAAATAAAAAAAACTTTCCCCGACTTTTCCTTTGCTGCTTCTGGCCACAGCAGCCCCGAGAACCGAAGGCGCTACTACTCACCAGTATTTCCGCTGCTGCAAAAACCTGCAAAAGAGAACGAAACAAAGATTTCTCCCTCCTGTTTGAAAATTTTGGAGAGTTCCTGGACTTCCCCAACCAGGGAGCCTTTTTACTCCCATGCTTGGAAAAGAAAAACCCCGGCCGGGCCTAAGTCCCCAATGGCAAGAAGAAAAGGCAGGTCTTACCTGATGAGCTCTCTGGGAGATCCCAAGTGCTCCGGGTCTGCCTTTCGCTCCGCATTTTATGCTGGTTCGAGACCTTGAAGCTACGCTAGCAAGACAGCGTGGCTGTTTTTCTCAAGTGCTAATCAGCCTGCCCCTCCGCAAAGGCTTCGCAAGCCGCACCTGCAAGATACCAAAAGCTTCGCTTGGCAAACAAAACAAATCAAAAAAAGGGGCTGGGAAGTATCCCTTTTGCGGGCAGGACGGGCGAGGGGGCCGAGAGGGGCATCGCCTGAGAAAGCCGGTTATCGCTTCTTTTGCTCCCATTGACGTCAGAGATTGGCGCGAACGAAGAGAGACTTTTTACCGCAAAAGGCCCTTAATTTTTTCCCCCCACAAAGCCATCTATCAAGATAACTTTTCAAGGCCGTCGGCCTAGCTCTCCATCAACTTCTCTGTATTGGCAAGATTCAATTCTCCAAGAAAAAAAAAAAAAGCAAGCAACTTATTCTGCTTTGCTATCACTGCTTACACACACAAAAAGAGATGCCCCTTAACAGCTTTTGCCATCATTCCCCTCAATTTAGTAGTCTTTTGGGGTACCCTGGGTCCCTAATTCATATTCACTGAAGCGGAAATCTTCACTATGTTTATAGTCAGATCCCTAAAAATGATGCAGTTTCTCCAATAATTGCATCAAAGAACCGCCATTGTTGGTTGTTGTAAAAAAAAATGTTCACCTTTTCCTACCTTTCCATTCAAACCTCAGGCTGGGCCTGGGATGAAGAGGCAGGTAAGGCTTAGCCAATGTAATGAAAATGTAACATTTTAATGATTAAAAACATGAGTATTTCCACAGGTATTTCATAATACTCAAGGTAATATATTTAGCACTCCCTTTTATTATTTTTCCCCTCAACAGCCCTGCAAGGTAGTCACCCAGTGAACTGCTGTGATTGCAGGTTGATTTGCGTGCGGGTCTTCCTGCTTTTTATTTAGTGTTTTTCAAAGTGGGGAAACCCCCCCCCCCCAAACGGGCATGGGGGTTGAAGTTCACACATCTAAAAGTTGCCAGGGTTGAGAAACACTATAGTCCAATAACTTGGCAATTGGCTTTAAATCTTAGAGGGGCTTTGAGGATATTTGTAGAGGATATTAAACTATGGCCAAATGCAGTCACTGCACTCTTGTACAGATGGTAAGAATGATGGCTTCACATACTGCAGCAAGCCATGAATTAACTCTATTGCTAAATAAACCACAGTTGGCTGTATTCACACATCTGAGTTCTACAATGCACACAAATCAAACTATAGTACGACATTTGGACATTATGCAGTCTATAAATACTGACAAAGAGGAGACAACCAGAAAGGGGCTGTTCTATCCAGTTTAGTCTCCCAAATATTTATCCAAGAAAAGGTTGAGCATCTGGCAACATGTATGTATGTATGTATGTATGTATGTATGAATATATATTTTCGTTGAAATGCAGCCACCTGAGTCTTGTTACTGAGTGAGTAAATTCCCCCTATTAAATTAGGCTCGTGCACATCCTGTGATAAATTATGCTGAAAATAACAAATTTATATTCCACTTTTTTCTAACCAACTTTAATATTTCTCCCTCCTATTTTATTATTACAGTACAACACCCCTGTAATATAGGTCAAGGTTGTTCATTTTTCATTATTGATAGTCCTCAACTTATAACCATTTGTTCAGTGACTGTTTGAAGTTGCAATGGCACTGAAAAACTAAGTTATGATCAGTTTTCATGTCTACAGCCATTGTAGTCTCCCCATGGTCACATGATCAAACTTTGGGTGTGTGGCAAGTAGCATATATTTAGAATAGTTGCAGTGACCTGGGTTCATTTGATCATTGTTTGCGACCTTCCCAGCTGGCTTCTGATAGGCAAAGTCATTGGGGGAAGCCAGATTCATTTAACAACCATATGATTCCCTTGACAATTGCAGTGATTTGCTTAACAAGCCTGGCAAAAAAAGGTTGTAAAATGGGCCTTGACTCATTTAACAGCTGCCTTCTTAGCAATGGAAATTTGGCCTTAATTGTGGTCATAAGTAGAAGACTATCAGTGACAAAGTGTGAAGGAGGGAGATCAAAACAGAGATTGAATTTACAGCAGCAATTAAGAAACTCCAGGCCTCTTCTTTAATTTACATTTGTGAGCTTTTTGACAAGAAGCTGCCAACCTTGTGATTTTGCGGGAAATCTTGGCTGAGTTCACACATTAGATTAAAGAACAAGATGCAGTTTCTTTATTTGAGACTTAGAATAGATTGCAGGAAAGTTATTATTATGTGCACAAAAATGGAGAAATACTGAAATATCCACACTGGAGGAATAGTTGGTGAAGATGGCAGAAATGGCAAAACTGACATGACTAATTAAAGACAAAGCAGTAAGTACTTTCACAAAGGACTGAAAACTTTTATGGACTTTTAACAGAAAATGGAAAAGAGTGAATGATTCAGCAATGGAAAAAGGGATTGATTAAAGGGCCAAAGTAATTTTTCTAATATGAAAGAAGGAGAGATAATAAGTTTGTACAGTAATTGCTGAAAAGAAGGGAAGCCATTTTTTTCTGGTTTTTTTTTAAAATTATCTTTTACTGTATTGCCTTCTGCACTTTTCCTTTTTCCCTCTTTTTCTTACTATACTTTTTATGTTTTTCTTTATGCATTTTAATATTTGCCTTTTATCCATGTACACAGTTAATAAAAATTATATAATTAGGAGAATATGTGAACTCATTTTTTACCTTTTCCTAGTTCTTCACTTTCCCTTGCACAGATACATTTTCTTCCTTTTGAAAAAGTACTTTTTCATGCCCCTCAGTGTGCATGCATACCCATCCTTCTCATGCCCCTTTGGATCATCCTATGGGAATATGTTTTGCTACTTTAACCCCTTGAGATTTATTACTAGAAAGTTAGTTAAAGAACTTACAAAAATAATCCTTCGGGTCTACTTAAAAGTGCATCTCATATGTGCTTGGTCTGCGTTGACTCTTGTGAAAATGCACTCAGGCATTTTCAAGTCCTCATCTTGTACAATTACTAATTTATCAAGATGGTATCTGAATAAAACAAGAAAGGATGGAATGGGGGAGAAGCCAACGCTTTTTTTCAGAACAAGAAGTGGTACATTTTTTTAAAGGACCAGTGTTAGAAGGTTTGTAAGATTACCAGTGAACTTACACAATCTCACATATTTGCATTTGTTGCAGTTATGGTATATCCCACCTCTTGGCAGCATAGATACCACTTTCTCCCCTATATACTCTCCAAAACAACAGCCCTGTGAGGTGGTAAATTAGACTGAGGTGGTAAATTGGACTGAGATGGTAATTTGGATTGAAAGAAAGACATTGGTCCATAGTCACCAAGTAAATGTTTATGGTTAAGGTTTGATTTGAAACTGGGTTTCTCCAGTCTTCATCCAACACTGTAATTTTTACAGAAATTCTGTTTGGAACGGCTGGGCAAGGGACACCCCACCATCTAGATATGGCAGGTCAAGAATAGAATGGGAATAGAGACAAAAAGTCCTGCTGTATATATATATATGGATGTATATATGTATTGTGTGTAGCTGTCCAACTTGCAAATTGTAGTTTGGAGTGGCTATCATAAAAATGAAGCAAGAAGCATAAAATGAAGGAAAGTAATAAAGAAATCCACAAAACCACAACTTAAAACTACGCAGAGGCCAAACCCAAACTCTTCAATAACCCAAACTATTTGGTAGACAGTCTTGTCCAGCATCTTGGCCCAATGCCCAAGGGAAAAATCCAAACCATACACAAGGCCAACAGGGTTGGGGCATCCACATATCTGGGGGTATGCTGTTCTGAAGGACATGGCTCCTAAGTCCCATCAGAGGACTTGATTTCATAAAGGGAGCCTCAAGAATGTCCATTATGTTGAATATCATCAGATGGGCAGATAAAACCAGAAACAGGAGAGCTCTCAAATCATCTGACTCCGTGCTATGAAAGTCTTTATAGGTGATGACTAGCACTTGAATTGCACCTGGAAGACAAAAGAAAGACAGTGCAGCTCATGAAGTAGAGCTATAACATGGGCTGCTGAAGTGCAATAATCACTACCCATATTATTGCATTTTGGACCAATTTTTTATTTTATAAATTTTATTGAGTATAAACATTAAAAAACATTCTTGACTGAAATCAGCTGTGTGGGGTGAAAGGCCTGAAATTTGTTGGCATACATTTATGTTAATACATTTTGCATTTAGAAAGATAAGGAAGTTATGTACAATTATATAAATATATACATTTAAACTTTGTAATTTTTAAATCTTTCTCATTATTCCTCAAATGTGATGTCCCTCACCTGTTCCCTATTTCACCTTAAATTCTTATTTCAATTTTATGAACTCCCTTTCATGTCCCTCCAGTAGTAAAATTTATTCCATATTTTGCGGTATTCTGATTCATCTTGATCCTTCAATTCTAATGTCAACCTATCCATTTCGGTGCATTGTAATATCTTATCAATCATAACAACCTCACTAGGGAT